TATATATTTTTTTAATTAAAAAAAGAAAAAAGAGGGCACAAATTAGAAAAAATAGCATAAATTACTCGTTTTATAATGGCATTGGCGCACTCATCCCATATCTATACTATTACAGTTGGCAATACGTTGGCTGGGTATCTGAGTTAGAAATTTTCTCTCTAAAGTGAACTTGCTGACATTTGATGTAAAAATCAGGATTGCCATCTGAAGGACTTTAATCACCGTCTACTCTATATTTTGATCGCACGGTATTTTCATGTGTTACCTGGGAAATGCGACTGATCCTTCCGCAATAGCATACAGAGTGACATCCTTCGCGGACACCAAACTCAAGAATTCATAAAACTCTTCCTCAATATTCGCCGGAAGAGTCTGTTTCAAATACTCAATATCTAAAAGTGATTATTTCACACAGTGACTTCACATCCGCATGACATACCACTAATGGAATAGTGAAATTTTTCTAAAAATTTCAGACATTCTTCCAAACCCGCGAAAATGGTGAACTCTCCTTGAAAGGGATTTTTGCGGAAGAATAAATCAAACACGGCGTAATCCTTGGTCTTCCCCGACTTCCAGTATGCATAAGCCATTGTTATTTGGTAAAGGTCTAATACAAAATAAAGGTCAATAAACCAATAATTCCACAGCCAAGTGCTTGTAATTGCGGAATTGTAACGCCAATAAATAGGGGAATCACTCATTTACCCAAAAATTAATAAATTATTATTGTTGCGTCTGGCGACTAAATCGTTAGTAAATTTTCCTTAATATGCTTATTTTAGCGCGTTATCTGAAATTAAATTAAAATATCCTTGAAAAATTTTGTAAACAATGAGTTGCTCCAGTTTCGCAATGACCAAAAAACTCTACCGGCAATTTTGGCGCGCTATAATTTGAAATAGAAAAAAGCGCGACTTGGTGCAAGGTTGTTAGTAATGTTGTTTACAGTAAATGAGCGTAAAATTGTGCTAATTTAAATTTGTAATTACCTGTAAGTAGCGGCTGTACGATTCCGTTTTGGCCTAACCTTCTCTCTGTCATTTTCGATGGTTGTTGGTTGTCTTGCTTGTCAGCCATTTCGTGAAAGACTCGCACACCTCCAAATGGTTTTTGAAATTCGCATCTGTGCAAGTTGAGTTCGTGTGCGCTACTAAAATTGTAAACCGCTCAAATCTTACACTCGTCGATCAAATATTATTTAGTTTTAGTGTACAAGCGTGTTGAGTAGAAATATTGATCAATGCGGAGGTCAATGCAAGGGCATCATAGCATTAAACTCCTCTAGATTGTCGTTTTACTACAAAAATTATCATTCGCAATGGCTAAAACCAATTCGTTATTGGAACAAATTGTACTGTTAATTAGACTTTGCCACTTGCTATCTTTTTAGTTAACTCAATGGACACTCAACACTTCTTATCTTATCTCTGCTTATTTTTACGCCAATTTATGGAAACGACTTTTAAATTAAACACGCGCCTTTTATTTAAATTATTTCCCACCAGTGACCACGAGACATACTCTTTCCCGATTGGTCAAAATTATTATCGTTTAAACTGCAACTTGTGTTATCAATTATTGTTTATTGCAACGATTTGACAAATTTTACGATTTAATCTTCTTATTTAGGTGTGTCGAAATGATAAACGTTGATAACACCCAGATTTAATAGTGAAAAATATGTCATGTCCATAAATAACTTATTCACCGTTAATTTTTATAGCTTATTGTGGTTTAAAGATATAATAATTGTGTTTTGACCACAAGTACAATAAAAATCATTGTTCCGGTTGACTGTTAAATTGATACGCAAATAAACACACATTCGAATATTCCATGTAAACAAAATATAAACGAGGTTGTATTTACATTTCTTATCACAAAGACACGTTTTTGTTTCATTTATTTGACATTATTTTGGCAATTTGGTAAGATAATAGTATATTAAAAAACAGGTGCTACAAAGAGTATGACAATGGAGTTTTTTATTCTATTGAGACCTTTTTAAAATATATTTGATGGCAAAAATATAGCATAAAAGTTGCCAAAAACCGTGTAACAAAGTTTTTGAAAAAAATGTCACAAGATTGTCATAGCAAACAGAGTGGAATAAAATAGCAATTCATTTTAAAATCCTTTATTCAACAACTTTATTTACACGTTTATCTAATATTACAATATAATACTGTAATTATCAGCCATTGGTTTACTATAACTAAAAGTTGTTCCTTGTCACTTTATTTTGTCAGTACTGTGACTCTCCTCCAAAGAAATAATTATTGCTCTAAATAATGACATTAATTTTTCTACCATACACCTTGAGACATCCATATTTTATGTCTAGACATAATTTTCAGTAAAAATAAAAAATCGTATACAAAATTCATCACAGTTGATCTACTAATAAGTATAATACGAAAGAAAATGTACCAAGTGGGGTTATATCCAAAATAATGGTATTTATATCTAAACCTACACAAAGTTATAAAAGGCTTAATTTTTAGCAACCAAAAATAAGTTTAAATGATTTAACACGAAAGTAGAGTTTCTATAATTTTGAATATGACATCCGGTTATCTATACACATATATAATAGTACACCTGAACATAGAACATAACCTCACTTGTTGACGTCATCAGGCGGGAAAGCAAGAAAATTCAAAATTATCGCATAATTTTCGCTGCTCTTTCCCTATCCCTTTCGACTTCAATGGGGTGCATCCGTTTCCGGTGAGAGAAACAATTGCCAGAACTAGCGAAAGCCTTAGGACAGTATGGACATTGATACGGCCTAGCACCAGTATGTTGATTTATATGAAACTAGAAACTAGTTGCAAAAATGTTCCATAATCAGAAGACTTACCTTTAAATCTTGATTCCGTTTGAATGTTTTGTCACACAAGGGGCATTTATGGGGTCTCAGATCACTATGAGTGATAGAATGGGCCCGCAAGGTGCTATTTGTGGGGTACACACGGCCGCAAACCCCACACGGGTATTGAATCCCACCATGGTATTCCTTGTGCCGGTATAAATTACACTGAGTCTTAAATCTGAATCAAGAATGAGTGGAAGTCACCCATGAAGAATTTTACTTACATTCGACCACAAATATCGCAACCGTATTTCCCTTTAGGTCTGTGCGTTTCAAGATGAACCTTAAGGTTCCCTTTGGTCGAGATTTCTTTACCACAAATGGGGCACGAAAATCGCGAAATTGCGAACTCCTCAATGTTGTCATCATCGTCGTTGTTTGTGGAAGCATCATTTTCTTCAGTCTCTTTTTCTTCTGTTTCTAACCAATTGTCGTGGCTATTGAGTATACGTTTGATGGGGGGTGAGTGGTTCCAAGTGTGGTTTTGGAGGGCTAATTCCGAAGTGAAGCTTCGGGGACATGAGGGGCAAAGATATGGTTTCCGGTATTTGTCTTCACTGTCGGAAACTTCCTCACTTTGGTTGTCTTCGTCATCGTCTTCGGTTTCAAGGGAGCACTGAAGGATGATCATGGGGTCAACTCGGACTTCCATTTCAGTTATTTCTGATTCTTGTGTCTCTTTTTCTTTAATTCCCTGGAATTTCTAATTAAAAAGTGTGAGCGATTTTTTGGGGGCTTACTTTAGTAAGATACGTGTGAAGAAGTGACTTGTTTTCTAAATTTTTTTGCTCGTGGTTGTTATTAGTGGTTGTGCAGACGAATTTGGTCATTTTGTCTTGATTTCTGAGTGCCATTGTGGCAAATCTGTGAAAACCGTCGAGTTTCTTGTAACAATCTTCGCAGATCATTTTTGGTAATTTGTCTTCAATTGAGATCTACAAAACGGTTTTGTGGTGTGTTTTTGTGTTGTGGCGACTTACTGTAAGTGCTAGATATCTTCGGATTTTCGCATGGAGAAACAACCTTCTAGCCTCTTCTCCAAAGAGGAAAATCCCGGTGTTGAATTCAGAAGAACATATCCGACACCATTTTGAAAGAACATTTGTTTCCATTTTGCCACATTTGGAGAAAAATGCCACTCTATCAATGAAAAATTTCTTGCACGTAAGAACGGCAATACATAGCGTCTCGAAAAAAGTACTGTGCTTAAACAGAGCTCATTGCGCACACACTCTAAAGGTACAATTCATACAATTCCTGTTGCGTGCTTTTTAAAAAACCTAATGCATGCATCCCACCCTTGCAAGTGATAAAAAACGGCTTTACATTGCTGGAAACCCCCCAGAATCGGCACTTACAACCCCGACCGGTATTTCTGATCTCTTGGTTGGCATTTTAGACGTGTTTGGTGCGCGGAAAACGCACACAGTTCGATAAAATTTCGACTTTCTGATTGACATACGTCAAAACACACGTGCGGGATGTTCCCGCCATCTCGCAATAAGACTCGGCAAGAGTCGACCGCCCCCATCGGCGCTCACAAATACTGCTTAAAATCAATACCAGCCACCCCAATTGTAATGACGCAAGTGCTTTCTAATTATTCTTTTTCGCTTTTTCTAATCAATAAGTGCATGCGGACAAATTATAGCAATTTTCGACGTCTAAATTTAATTCATTTAACGAAAGACAATGACCTTTCTTGTTAACATGTAAAACACTCCAGACACGAATTTATATGCACACGACATAACTTACTTCATGTTATTGCTTTTATATCAGGTCGTTACAAATCTGCACCTGGTCGTGGACAAATCCGTTTTTCATTGCTAATTGTTGCCACAAATTTATCTAGACGATAAAAAATTCCACATAAACAAGAAGTGTTTTGTTTTGGCGAAATTTTGACCTCTTATTTCCTCACTGTCGCGTGACGGATTAGAAATTCTTGACCTTGCACTTGGTGGCGTAACAAATATTTCGATACAAGTGGAATATGCGAGGCGCAGCCGAGTTGTGTAATCGCATAAGTTTGTTAATAATCCGTTATCACACGTGTTTCGTACAATATTTTGTCTATGGTCGCTAAAATGAACAAAAAGTTGCAAAACGGGACGGAGCTTCTGGATTGCCTGGAATCAGTGTTGAAAAATTTGTCAAATTTTCTCCAGATTACGATTTGTATGGCAAAATTTCGCAAAAAACGCAGTTTTTGGCTTAAAAATCACAAACTCTTAAAAAAAAAGGGAAAATGACACGCTTTTTGCCCTAATTCTGTGATTTTTCGGCTTGTTTTAAACAAAATTTTGCAAAATAATTGCGTTTCTAACTGAAAATCCTACTAAAACGCTATTTTATTTTGTTTTTTTTATTTTATGTTATTTTGTTTTTTTTATTTTATGTTATTTTGTTTTATTTTACTTTATCTTATTTTGTTTTTTTATTTTATTTTATTTTACTTTATTTTATTTTGTTTTTTTTATTTTATTTTATTTTGTTTTATTGAAATTTTAGTACAAGAACGTGCATAAAAGAATTTTCGGCCAAATTTCGTGTTTTCTCGGCTTGTTTTTGTCCTATCTTGCTCAAAAACCAGATAAATCAAGTGACACACAAAATAAAATCAATATCAATCATTTTTGTGATTTTTAGGCGTGTTTGGACAAGTTTTTGCAAAATAAATGAAAAGTCAGGCGAACAAGCTAAAAAATTATATCAATTTCGATTTAATTTTGAAATTTTTTAGTCTGTTTCATTGCAGTATTGTGTTTTTATCTCTCAAAAAGACAAAAAACGCCGGTTTTTTGGCTATTTTTTGACAAAATTTTAAAAAAATTATTGTTTGTAGCTAAAAAAGCATTTGAAAAAAACAAAAATAAGTTGTCATTTTCGATCTGTTTAATAATATTTTGTAAAAAACAAATAGAACTATTTTTAACCAATTTGATAGTTTTTGATAATTTTTTCTTCGAGAAAATTTGACGAAATAATTAAGTTATATATTTTTTTTTTATAACAATTTAGTGATTTTTGAGACCCTGTGAAAAATTCTCGCGAAAAAAACGAAGTTTTCAGCTCAACAATCTGCTTCAACTTTTGAGAAAGCAAACAGTTATGTTATTTTCGGCCTAATTCTATGTTTTTTCGTTTGTTTTTGACAAAATTTTGCGTTTCTAGTTGAAAAACGTGCTAAAACTCTCAAGAAATGCAAAGTTAATGTAATTTTCGACTTGATTTGTTGATTTTTCAGTTCGTTTTAGCGAAATCTCACAAAAAAGCTAAGATTATAGTACAAAAATGTGCTTAAAAACATTCTCGGCTTATTTTTGTCTTATTTTGCTCAAAAATCAGTTAAATCGAGTGAAACAAGGAAAATAACATCAATATTTTGCAAAATAAATTAGCCTCTATGGTTCAAAAACAAAATAAGTCGAGCGAAACATGCTAAAAATAACATCAATTTTGATTTGATTTTGAATTTATTTGCTTGCTTCAATGAAATTTTTTGAATTCTCTTTGTTTTTATCTCAAAAACGTGCTTAAAAACTTGAAAAGGGCAAAAATAACGCCGGTTTTGGTCGAATTTGCTGAATTTTTGGATTGTTTTTAACTAAATATGGCGAAATAAATTGTCATGTTTAATTCCGTCTCTTAAAATCTTGTAAAAAAAAACAAACAGAACTATAATCTTTTTCAGTTTTTGGCTTAAAAATCTGTTTAAGCTCTTAAAAAGAAAAAATGNAATAATGGATTCAGTTTAACACAAATGTGATTATTAAGTGATATTTCTTCCATCTCTTGTGCAACTGTGCACTTTTTGGCTACTGAAACAATAGTAATTATTTTTTTTTAATGTTTAACGTTAAATATCTTTTTAGTTATTGATTATAAACACCTAAAAGTATATAATTTTAGAAAAACAATTTAATAATCTCTTAAATGCAAAAACAATAAATAGGGTGTTTCATTTAAATTTTTTAAGTTACTCAACTTTTAACAAACGCCTTCATTTTTTATCTTTGCAAATGCAACACATTAAAAAAAATTTACAATCTTATAGCTTCTACTTTCTTCTTTGCGGTAGAAAAAAAAATATTTTTAGATGTAATAAATTTTTAAAAAGTGCATGTTTTCGTCAAAAAAACCATCTAATTTTTAAAACTAAGCAAAATCGATGGATTAGATTAGTATATCTATCAATGTCCTATGGACTTTTTCAACTTGCTGGGATATCCTGTATGTTTTTTTACAATTATTTAGTAAAGATACAAAAATTTTGCCAATAAAAGCCACAAATAATATTAAACAGTTACAATTTAGGATACAGCTTTCTTGTTTCTTCTTCTAATAGCTTGTATAAAAAAAATTGAAAAATTATTTTTCCAACAGAAATAAATAGTCAAAATGCAAAATTTAAACTTTCATAACATCGAAATTTTTATAGATAATTTTTTTCCATATTCCTGGTATCTTACCTTATATGCAATTCGGCGCACCTGTATAAAAATTTAAAAATTAATAAATCAATAAATCCACACTGAGTTTCATATTTTTTTAATATGACACCATTTAAGGAGAGAGAAAATAACAAAAGGGGGGGAGGAGGAGGAGGAGGAGGAGGAGGAGGAGGAGGAGGAGGAGGAAGATCTTCTTCTTCTGCAGGAATCCTTATAAGTTTGACACGTCTTAATTTTTTAATACGTTTAATTTTCAGAGATATGGTTTTTAATTGTTTAATACGATAGACTCTGTAAAGCTTTTTATGAAACTATAATCAAAGTTTTAGTAGGTTGTACATATTAAAAAACAAAAATAACATATCTATTGTAGAAGCAATAAATCGTAGCAGCGATGGTTCCTGTCTGGGACACCCGATATAGTCACTAACGCTAGTTATCAATTTATTGATTTGGATAGATTTAATTTTTATCTACCAGGATTTAATTTTTTGATTCCTGCTTCAATTAGTTTAATTAGTTCCGTCTGCAAATCCTTATTATTTATAACAATGTTCTCCTCGTTTTTATTTATAGCAGTGGCGTTAACACTAATGTTAAAATTGCCTTTAAGAGGGGCAAGGTTAACAGTGATATTCGGAAAATCCACTTTAATTGGACCCACAGGTACAGGTATCAGGATCTTCTTTTCTTCTTTTGGACGTTTTTCAACATTATTAGCAATGTAAACCTGCACTTTGGGTTCCTTTTTTTCTTCTTCTGAGGATGAATCATAATCGAAAAAGTCAAACTAGAATTAAATAAAATTTTAATTAATATCACAAAAACAAAAAAAAACTTACCAAATCAAAAAAAGGAGCACCAAAGGTTCTTGTACACACCAACATTGCACAAATCAGTAGAAAAGCAACTGCCATTTTTTTCTACTTTCGAAATGATTCTTCAAACTACATAATATGTAAATACGAGAATTTCACGTTTATATACCTACATTAGACCTATTTTTTAAAGAAACATTGTTTACACTCAAACATAAAATAGATAATGAATAATGATTTCACATTTATTTCGTCCTTCTAAAGTTTTAAGTTAGTAATAAAAACCGTGACCAATTTTCAGTTTTATCGAGGTTTCAAAAGAATTATCTAAAATTCTTCTGGTTTAAGTACCGCAACAAAGATATCGTCGAACTCAATTTACGATTTTTTGCAGATTTACCTAATACGGAAACGTAATTTCAAAGCGAAAATTAAACAATTATTTGAATTAAATATTCTTAATAGGTATTTTTTAGTGACTACTAATAATTGTAAAAAAAACTAACCTTTTGGTAACACAATAGTGTCGATAGAATAGTTGATACTAATCGTTACCATTTCTAATTTTATTATTTTACTATTTTATTTATTATATTTATTATATTTATTTTATTTATTTTATTTATTTTATTTATTTTATTTATTTTATTTATTTTATTTATTTTATTTATTTTATTTTATTTTATTGAAATTTTAGTACAAAAACGTGCAAGCATTTTCGGACACATTTTGTGTTTTCTTGCTTTATTTTTGTCTTATCTTGCTCAAAAACCAAAACTGAGACAAACAAAATAACATCATTATCCTTTTTGCGATTTTTAAGCGTGTTTGCACAAGATTTCACAAAATGAATAAATCTCTGGTTTAAAAACGAACTAATTAGTAATTAGTCAGGCGAACAAGCTAAGAAATGATCTCTCAAAAAGACAAAAAACGCCGTTTTTGGCTATTTTGTTGAATTTGTGGCTTGCTTTTGACAAAATTTTGAAAATAATTGTGTTTCTAGCTAAAAAAGCATTTGGAAAAAACAAAAATAAGTTGTTATTTTCGACTCTGTAATATCTTGTAAAAAACAAATAGCAACTTTTTTTGTCGAATTTTTGACCTCTTATTTCCTCACTGTCGCGTGACGGATTAGAAATTCTTGACCCTGCACTTGGGATAAGAGCATTATGCGAGGCGCAGCCAAGTTTGTTAATAATCCGTTATCACACGTGTATTTTACAATATTTTGTCTACGGCCGCTACAATGAAAAAAAAAGTTACTAGACGGGATGAGAACTCGGAACTTCCGGGTATCGATTCGCCACCGCAATCACGGAGCAAATAAACCACATGAATTTTAATTGAATCCAAACACAAACCACACTATTAAAATTTATAACAAATAAATAAATTGTATTGTTGATACTGTTTTTGTAATGTTTAATAAATTTTGTTATTTGTGCGAAGTAAGTCAATATACTATAAACATGGAAAAAATGTTTAAAAAATTCTATCTGTCAAACAATTTTGACATTTGACTTTTTTATGTCTATTTATTTTTACCAATGATCTTGTATATGTTTTTTTTATGATTATTCAGTAAAGGTACAAAAAATAATAAATAAAAGCTACAAAGTAACGTTAAAAACGTTAAACATTTTCAACTGATATAAAAGTGTAAAACGGACCTTACCTCACTTTCGGTTTTTACAAGTTTTTTTATCCTGACAACTAGAGAAAAAATGAAAACAATTTATTGAATTATGTAAAAACAAGTATTGTTTCGAAAAATTGACGCCAAAAATTAATTTCAACCACAACTTTCAAATCTTAGTTTCAAATGTCAATCATAATGACAATAAAGCCTGGTTTACATTGACATTTTTTGAATTGACATAATTCGAAATTTTTATAGATAGAGTTTTTTGGACACATTTTTTTATGTTCCTGATGGTATTTTATCTTATTTCTCAGAGAAAAATCTCTGGGGCGCGTGTTCTGAAATCATTTCAAATATGAGGAAGGGATTGCATTGAATGAAGCGCAGTTTTATTAAAAAGTTTTATTAAAATACAAGTATCACAAACCCAATGCACGTAAAAATACTTCAGTTCTTTAACATATGGCTCAATTCGCTTGGAGATTTGTACAGGATTTGGCTTTGGTCGACCTGGAAGCAAAACCTGAGCCCCAAATCGCAATTTTGCGTAACTTACAACTTCGCTTTGTTCCTTCGACAGACGTGCAAGGCAATTGGTCCGTTTTTGACACTTTTGAACAAAAGAACAGCATCAGCGTGTGAAATATCATGGCAAACTTGTCCATTAACAGCCAAAATTTCGTCACCTCGAACGTGAAATGAGATATTTCAAGGGGGTGGTGACCCAACTTACCTGCTTTCAACCGGCCATCTTCGGCCGCTTGTCCATTGGCGAGGATCGTCTTTACAAAAATCCCCAAAGCGCCTTTAGGGGAATCCCGGCCGCCGACAATAGTAAACCCTAGAGACTTCCTCCCAGGGCCTTTTTCTAAAATTACTGTATGGAAGGTGCAAATCGTTGAGCGGGGCCTCCGGGGGAGGGTACAAAAGTTCGTGGTGTCGGTTTGAGGACTAGAAGGGAATGGCGATTCGGTGTTTTTCGTCGTGGAGGCGGTAGCACGCCGAAGAACTTTGTTATAACTGCCATGACTGCAACTGTTTTTTTGGAAATAGTGGTGGCGTTTGTATAGGGGACTTGGGGTCGAATCGACGAAACTTTCTTTCATTGTTTTGCGACAGACGAGGAGGTCTACGTGGAGGTTTGAGGTACAGAGGGATTGTTTCGCTTCGGCCATGTTCATGGAGGAGATATCGCGGCCGTTGATGCTGATCACTTCATCGCCTGGCATGAGACTGGATTGTCTGGAATCAGTGTTGCCAGATCAAAAATATTCGCCACAAAAATTTGACAAATTTTCACCAGATTACGATTTCTCTGACAAAGTTTCAGCTTAAAAATCTGCTTAAACTCTGAAAAAAAGCAAAAATGACAGGCTTTTCGGCCAATTCTGTGATTTTTCGGATTGTTTTTTGCGAAATAATTGCGTTCCTAACTAAAAAAACCTGCTAAAACGCTCGAAAAATACAAAAATAATGTAATTTTAAACTTAATTTCCTGATTATTTAGTTTGTTTTAGCAAAATCTAGCGCTAAAAAACATGCTTAAAAGATTTTTTTCGGACAAATTTCGTTGTTTTCTTGGCTTATTTTCGTCTTATCTTGCTCAAAAACCAGATAAATCAAGTGAGACACACAAAATAAGATCAGATCAACATCAATCTTTTTTGTGATTTTTAGGCGTGTTTGGACAAGTTTTTGCAAAATAAATGAAACGAACTAAGTCAGGCAAACACGCTGTTATCAATTTCGATTTAATTTTGTAATTTTTTAGCCTGTTTCAATGCAATATTGTGTTTTTATCTCTCAAAAAGACAAAAAACGCCGTTTTTTGGCTACTTTTTGACAAAATTTTAAAAAATAATTGTGTTTCTAGCTAAAAAAATATTTGAAACAAACAAAAAAAAAGTTATTACCATTTTCGACTCTGTTTAATAATATTTAAACTCTTGAAAAAAAAAGCAAAAATGACATGCTTTTCGGACTAATTCTGTAATTCTTTTACTTGTTTTCAACAAAATTTTGGGAAATAACTGCGTTTCTAACTAAAAAACGCTCGAAAAAAAATCATGTAATTTTAAACTTAATTTCTTGATTATTTAGTTTGTTTTAGCGAAATCTAGCGCAAAAGAACGTGTTTAAAAGAATTTTCGGCCAAATTTTGTGTTTTCTTGACTTATTTTTGTCTTATCTTGCTCAAAAACCAGATAAATCAAGTGAGACACACAAAATAAGATCAATATAAATCCTTTTTGTGATTTTTAGGCGTGTGTGGACAAGTTTTTGCAAAGTAAATGAACCTCTGAGTTAAAAACGAACTAAGTTAGGTAAACAAGCTAAAAAATGATATCAATTTCGATTTAATTTTGTAATTTTTTAGCCTGTTTCAATGCAATATTGTGTTCTTATAAAAAAACACCGTATTTTTTGACAAAATTTTAAAAAATAATTGTGTTTCTAGCTAAAAAAAGCATTTGATAAAGATAAAAATAAATTATTATCATTTTCGACTCTGTTTAATAATGTTTTGTAAAAAACAAATAGAACTATTTTTAACCAATTTGATAGTTTTCTATTACTTTTTCCTCAAGAAAATTTCACGAAACAATTAAGTTATATATATTTTTTTATAACAATTTAGTGATTTTTGGCACCCTGTGGCAAATTCTCACAAAAAAACAAAGTTTTCAGCTTAACAATCTGCTTCAACGTTTGAAAAAGCAAACAATTATGTTATTTTCGGCCTAATTCTGTGTTTTTTGGTTTGTTTCTGACAAAATTTTGCAAACCCATTGCGTTTCTAGCTGAAAAACTTGCTAAAACTCTCAAGAAATGCAAAATTAATGAAATTTTCGACTTCATTTGTTGATTTTTCAGTTCGTTTCAGCGAAATCTCACAAAAAAAGCTAAGATTATAATACAAAAATGTACTTAAAAACCTTCTCGGCTTATTTTTGGCTTATTTTGCTCAAAAATCAGTTAAATCGAGTGAAACAAATAAAATAACATCAGTAGTTTGCCTCAATGGTTCAAAAACAAAATAAGTCGAAGAAACAAGTTAAAAATAACATCAATTTTGAAATTTTTTTGTCTGCTTCAATATAATTTTTAGAATTTTCTTTGTTTTTATCTCAAAAAAACTTAAAAAGGGCAAACATAACGCCGTTTTTGGTCGATTTGTTGAATTTTTGGATTGTTTTTAACGAAATACGAAATAATTGTGTTTCTAACTGAAAAAGTATTCGAAAAAGTCAAAAATAAATTGTCATTTTCAATCCTGTCTCTTAATGAGCATCAAGTAGGTTGTAGAGGTCTAAATGCATCTTTAATTTAAAGGCAGATTCACACAAAAAGTGTCATTAATCATTAATGTCATTCAGAACAAGTTTAATCACATGAATATTGACAAAAATCTTTAAGTTTGCCACCTTATGTCAATTACCTTGTTAATTTTAATTGGGATACACATTTATTTAGAAAAAATAATTTTTAGGGAAGATTGAGGTTGGGATTGTTTGAATTTTCGCAAGGTTGCCATCCCTTTCAACGACTACTTCGATGCACATTAAACGAATATATTTTTAACCAATTTGGTGGTTTTTCGACTTTTTTGAAAAAAATTGACGAAATAATCAAGCTTCTGGTTGCAAACGTGAAACATGCTCGAAAAATAGTTATTTCATTTCAAAAAAATCACCAGATATTAGAATTTTCACTAGACTAACATGAAAATCACCAGATCTAGTGAAATTTCAGCACGGTTAAGACCGGTTAAACCGGTTTTGGGGTTACCTGGCCGCGACTCCGTCTGGCACAATATGAGCGACGACAAATCCGTGAAAAACTTCGCGACTTTTCGTGAGGAAAATGCCGAGTTCTTCGTCCGGAGTGCGTTTAATAAGGCGTACCAAACTTGTGGTTTTCTTCTCGTTGAAGATTTCGCGCCGGTCTAAAGACAGCGCTCTTTGCGGGTGGTTCCGTCGCAAATTCGTCGATTCAAAGTCCAGGAGAGAGTTATTCCCGGACAATCCCGAATCGTTGACTATAATCCCACTGTCGGAATCTTCATGGTCGAGGAGTAACCGGTCGTCTTCATCCTCAACGGTGTCTCTTTCCGGTTGGAATTCCTCAAGCCCTGGAAGAGCCCCATACGAGAAGCTTCGTAGTTTCACCCGGAGGTTCTTCTTCCGTCTTGGATTTTTAACCGGAGTAGACTCGGCAAGAGGCCCCGGATTTTTGTAAAGCTTATTTAGGAACTTGTTGGTTGAAGATTGAAGATACCTCTCGGACATTGCTCGCAACTTGGCTGTGAAACACGAAGCACGATTCAAACTGTCATATTTATCACTAACACCCAAAAGTTCCAAATCGAGACTTTGACTGTCACTAGTGTGATTATTTGAACTGCACGAAGGCACGTCAACTAGAGTTGAAGCTGTTGAATTTGACCGGAAACAAGACAACCGCGTGTGTTTCACTCTATCCAAAAGGGGGTTCCTTTTTTCCCGATCGGAGACACTCCGCGGTTGCGACTTGTACCTTCTCCTGTTCGATTTTTCAATGATAATCACGCTGTCCTCAACATTGTAAAAGTTTGTGTCATTCTTGTTATTTTGCCTTCGGGCCCAAACAGCCGGGGACATTTCTATAAAGAGGAAAAGAGGACAATTATCTCACAAGGATAAATAAAAGTTGTTTACCAAGACGCGATCTCCGTTTGACGTGTTTGGGGGGTGACAAAATCTCAACATTTGGATTTTGATCGCTCTCGGTGGAGCGAAGAGGCGAAAGGCTCAGAAGTCGGGGCGCTTCGCCCTGTTTGCGAAACCACTTCATTTGCTACAACAGAAAAACACATTACCTTTAAACGAACTTTTCTTCTTGTTAAAAACGTCACAGGACAAGTTCGTACGTTCTATGAATTCTGAAATTACTGCAGCCTTGAAATAACTCGCTTACGAATTTCAGTGTCATTGTTCTTTATTCTACTTTTAACACAAAAAACTGGTTGTGGGAAACTTAAATGTTATATCACGTGAATTAAACATGTGAAACGTAACATTCCAGGCAATTAATTATTCTTAATTGCATTTTATTGACTTTTTCCCATAAACAAAAGTGAATACGGGACTGGAATTTTGAAAAACGTGTCAAATGTAGGCAACCAATTATACATGATTTATCTTAAAATTTCTCCACAAGAAAAAGTTAATTGTTTGTACCGTAATGTGTAGGTCAAATTCGATAAAACCAACAATATATTCGACTCAACTTATCAGAAAACAGAAATTGCATCAGAAATGGCATGAGACTGGATTGCCTGGAATCAGTGTTTCCACCTGAGTTGAAAAATTTAACAAATTTTCACCAGATTACGATTTGTATGGCAAAATTTCTCAAAAAAACGCAGTTTTCAGCTTAAAAATCTGTTTAAACTCTTGAAAAAAAAACAAAAATGACATGCTTTTCGGACTAATTCTGTGATTTTTTGACTTGTTTTCAACAAAATTTTGCGAAATAATTGAAAAACGCTCGAAAAATACAAAAATCATGTAATTTTAGACTTAATTTCTTGATTATTTAGTTTGTTTTAACGAAATCTAGCGCAAAAGAACGTGCTTAAAAGAATTTTCGGCCAAATTTTGTGGTTTCTTGACTTATTTTTGTCTTATCTTGCTCAAAAACCAGATTAATCAAGTGAGACACACAAAATAAGATCAATATCAATCCTTTAAGTCAGGCAAACAAGCTAAAAAATGATATCAATTTCGATTTAATTTTGTAATTTTTTACCCTGTTTCACTCTCAAAAAGACAAAAAACGCCGTTTTTTTGGCTATTTTTTGACAAAATTTTAAAAAATAATTGTGTTTCTAGCTAAAAAAGCATTTGAAAAAAACAAATATAAGTTTATCATTATCGACTCTGTTTAATAATATTTTGTAAAAAATTTTTAACCAATTTGATAGTTTTCTATTACTTTTTCTTTGAGAGAATTTCACGAAATAATTAAGTTATATATTTTTTTTTATAACAATTTAGTGATTTTCGACACTCTGTGGCAAATTCTTTCGAAAAAACAAAGTTTTCAGCTTAACAATCTGCTTCAACATTTGAAAAAGCAATTATGTTATTTTCGGACTAATTTTGTGTTTTTTGGTTTGTTTTTGACAAAATTTTGCGTTTCTAGCTGAAAAACGTGCTAAAGCTCTCAAGAAATGCAATTTTCGACTTTATTGGTCGATTTTTTAGTTCGTTTTAGCGAAATCTCACAAAAAAGATAAAATTATAGTACAAAAATGTACTTGAAAACATTCTCGGCTTATTTTTATCTTATTTTGCTCAAAAATCAGTTAAATCGAGTAAAACAAACAAAATAACATCAATATTTTGCAAGATAAATGAGCCTCTATGGTTCAAAAACAAAATAAGTCGAGCGAAACATGCTAAAAATAACATCAATTTTGATTTGATTTTTAATTTATTTGCTTGCTTCAATGAAATTTTTTGAATTCTCTTTGTTTTTATCTCAAAAACGTGCTTAAAAACTTGAAAAGGGCAAAAATAACGCCGTTTTTGGTCGAATTTGCTGAATTTTTGGATTGTTTTTAACGAAATATGGCGAAATCATTGTGTTTCAAGCTGAGAAAGTATTCGAAAAAGTCAAAAATAAATTGTCATTTTTAATCCCGTCTCGTAAAATCTTGTAAAAAAACAAAGAGAACTATAATCTTTTTCAGTTTTTGGCTTAAAAATCTGTTTAAGCTCTTAAAAAAAAGGAAAAATTTTGCAAAATAATTGCGTTTCTAACTGAAAATCCTACCAAAACGCTATTTTATTTTATTTTATTTTATGTTATTTTATTTTATTGAAATTTTAGTAGAAAAACGTGCTTAAAAGCATTTTCGGACAAATTTTGTGTTTTCTTGCCTTATTTTTGTCTTATCTTGCTCAAAAACCAAATATAAATATATTTTGCAAAATAAATAAGCCTCTATGGTTCAAAAACAAAATAAGTCGAGCGAAACAAGCTAAAAATAACATCAATTTTGAAATTTTTTTGCCTGCTTCAATGAAATTTTTAGAATTTTCTTTGTTTTTACCTCAAAAAATTTGAAAAGGGCAAAAATAACGCCGTTTTTAGTTGAATTTTTGGATTGTTTTTAACGAAATATGGGGAAATAATTGTGTTACTAACTGAGAAAGTATTCGAAAAAGTCAAAAATAAATTGTCATTCAGATTCACACAAAAAAAAATCAATTTTGAAAAATCTTTGCCACCTTATGTCAATTACCTTGTTCAAAAATCAGATAAATCAAGTGAGACAAACAAAACATCAATAAACAAAACAGAAATTTTTATTGATAAAGTACAATTTTACGGTAAAAAAGTAATCGTAACACAGACTCAATTTGGGGTTTATAATTTTTACTTTTGTTTGAACACTTTATCACAAAGGTTGAGCAAGATACTAGCCTTTGTTTGCTTTTTAAACAGCATCTAGTTACATTTTTAAATACACAGACACAAAGAAAAATGGTTTTAATTTTCCGGAAAATCACGTCTTTGAGAAAACAGTTTCTTATCTGAGTAGATTGAGGTTGTCATTGACCAGTTTAAAGTAAAAGCGTGTTCCAAATTTGAAGGTAATTGAATCTATAAAAACCGTCAACTGTGTTTTTCTCGTCTAGAAATTGCGTAATTTTGCAGTTTGAAATTGACACAGAAATTTCCTGAAGCGGTCAGTTTTTTGTAATTAGAGATATAGTACAATTAGCGTGATTTCGTTTCGAATGATTCAGCACTGACAGGACCTGAAATATTTCTTGGAAGAGTTGAAGCGAGACTTGAATGCAATCATAAACAAAAATGAACACCTCAGGTTACAACGCAGGTGTAATTTGTAATAATTAAGTGCATTTGTTATTAATTACAATGTAGCTGCACATTCCTGCATTTTAAAATCGCAGAGCGAGTGGAAAGCACAAATATTTGCTTCGAAATAACTAAAAATAATGATGAGTTCTGTGAATTGATCCAGGTATAAAATGTTCACACGGAGCGAATGCTAACTGACATTAGATTACAACTTGGCCATAGCATTTGTTGTGTAATATTTTCTCAATGTAGAAAGTACAGTGGAATTTCAATTATGCAATCTGATATAATTAATCATTGAGAAACGTGAATGATCATTTCATATTTTCGAATTGATCGCTCATAAATCAGTCATCACAGTTACAATTCCCGCAAAAATCAATAATTTTTGAACGGCAATTCAAGTCAAGTAATTAAAATCTTACAGGTGTGGCCTTTACACGGTCCGTGCGTTCGAGGATCGAATTTCTGTAAATCAAATCGAATTTAATTGAATCGAAGCCGACAATGACCTAATTGATTAATTCGGCGTGACAAAGGGGCACATTGTTGCTAGTCAAATCTAAATGATTCATGAAATTTCATCGGAATTACTATGATAAAACGCGTTGAAATATGTGGCACAGGCTATAACTACATTCCATCGATAATCGCCTCAAGAAACGAAAGCGAAATTTTCAACATTCATGTAATGCAATCTGTAGACAAATTATGCTTTCAGCACGCATCGGTTGTCATTTTTTCCGAAAAATCATCACGGAAGTGGGGAATTGTGATGCAACAAATATGACACTCGGGCATTTGCCTAAGCTCAAATTAACTATATAAATATTTTAAGTAACAGATAACTTCAAGCCTAACAGCGTTATGTCACCATGTCCCAACAATTAACTAGTTTTTCTGTGAAAGCTAGATTTTGTTAAGTTCGATTGTATTTAAATGAAAATATGTGTGTCATTTTTGGCGTATGCTAATATTACCCACACCTTGATCCAGTGGCAGCGCATGGTCATGGGCACAACTAATTTATTTTTCAGTAAAGTTTAATTTCACTTTTAATGGTCTCTTTCTGAACCCATCAATCAAATAATAACCACTAGACGACGATACGCGTTAAAAAGTAGTACTACACCAAATTTAAATTTTTACTTTAAAATGCTCTACATACCCACACTAACACAACAAATATCCACAACTACACCCACTAAAACGGATTTTTAACAAAAATAACCCTAATTGTTCACACAAGTTTTGAATTCGAATTTGACAGAACCACAAAATATGACAGCGCGTTTAGGGGATTTTAATGTTTTTAGTATATTTAAAAAAGTCCGGGACAATCTATACCACAGATTTATTATTATATAATTCTTTTTTCACTTTGTTCAAGATCACAGTCAGCTTTTGCAAATTTTTTAGACAAATAAACGTGTGCGTGGTTGTTATTTTGTGTAAATAGCGAGCCGCCCGTGGCCGGGTCGAGTAAAAAGTTAATATTTATTGCCCGCTAGCAAGGTCCAGCTACCGGAATTATAGCGGTGAAAATTAAAAATGAGCTAGGATCAAACAGTGAGGTGAACATGTAGCATCATCCAGGCGTACGATTGCAACCTTGACGAGATTCGCATTTTTGACCCCTCTGAAACCTTCACCTTTTTTCGATTTGCGAAAAACTGCTGTTGATGTTGTTAGAACCGGAAACTGGAAAAAGTTGATGGACGCTTTCAGGCATTTTTCAGCACGGCTATTTAAGTCTGGCCTTTTATATGACCACAATGACGGTCATCTTTGTATCATGTCCGCATCATTGCTTGTCCCAACTGTCCTCAGTACCATGACCAGTGAAGAGTACACGTTTCTAACTACGAACCTGTGAAATCGGACATTTGCTATGAACTATGGCGACATTTTTCTATATAATTGAGTGTTGCGTTTTTTGCGACTAAAACCACCAAAAAATTTGCATATTTTCGAAGAATCCGCGGAAGCGGATGACTAATCAACAACCAAAAAATCCAAACAAATAAATCAAAACGCAAATGTACCGAGACAGGTTATTACCATGATAGGTTTTTAATGCAGCATCCTGGATATGTATTATAATCAACAATAAATTAAAACACAATTTTGTACTTAAATACATTTACAACTACTCCGACAAATGAAAAACGGTGCTACCTCACAAAAACTACAATTACAAAAGATGCAATTATATTAATACAGTAATAATGTCTTTGTATATTTTTGAATTTCTCATTTCTCAGCTATTGTGTCTATAAATGACAATTTAAATTAAACACCACTTAGTATACAGATTCAGATTTCGTTTTCTCACAACAGGACCCCACATTTCAAAAATACCCCAAATAACTCTTATGCAATTATTGAATAACACAACACATACAAGACATTTCCGCATTTTTCAGACCTTCTACCTTAATTATCATCCTCGACCAATAACTTTCCCCCAACTCACCTTTAATTTGATTTAATCCCAATCTTTGTCAAATTTGAGTTACATTTTTTTATCACTGATCAGAGCGCGACTAGAAACAAAAAACTTAGCTAAGCAGCTCCTATCGCCACTGCTTGACGAGTACTGATCATACCATGCGATGGTACCATACAATAGTACCAGCGCTGGATGTGGTAGCCGTTTCTAGTTAGAGAACCACTTCTTTTATCAACCTTCCTATTAATTCACTCGCTTGATTGATGAATCGACCGGGTACTCAAACCTGGCAACTAGTACCTACGACTTTTTATTTACTTAATGCACAACTTGCCCGTTTCACAAAACTGATCACTAGTGATGAATGAGAAAATTTGGGCAACTTTCAAATTTCGAGCCATTGGTTGCACTACAGGTTTCTGTAAGTAAATTTTTCCCAAAAATTTAAGTTTGATTTGGTAAAATACCGGAGTGGTTGTGCTGTTAGCATAAAAACAACAATTGACGAAAAACCTGGCAAAACGTGGTGGTTTAATCATGAGTTGAGTCAACTTTTGAATTTCGCTGCGCAATTGGCAGCATTGAGACACCTACTAGTCAAAACTCAAAGCTGTGCAGGTTTCTGTAACCGATTTTTTTGTAATTTTCCGTTGGGATTAATTTTTTTGTTGCGGAAATTGGATTTTTTTGAATTTTGAGGTGTTTAGGTCCGGTTTGGTGAAAACCCGGGTTGTTTTTTTGCATTGTTGAGTATTTTCATGGAGTCGTTTGTGGTTTGACATTTGACAATATCTCCATTTGCTGGCTATTTTTGTGCTGTGACCGTAGTTTGCCATAAAAGCAAAAATTGAATTGTGGCTGAAAAACCAGTTAAAAAGTGGTTGTTTAATCATGAGTGTGTCGAGTTCTCTTGAGTATCTCATGATAAAGCAGACTTGTCGGTTTTTCGCTTACAAGTTTGAAATGGGTTCAAATCAAGCACCCCAAGACGCATCAGATATCTATTCATTCCAGTTTTTGAAGGCTTTATACGACCGCCCCGAGGATCACATAAACAAAATAATTAAAGCGAAATTTGGGCCCAACGGGAACGAGAATGTAAGTTTGTAAGTTGAAAATTAACCTAAACTTGACAAGGTTTCTTCCAGGGTGACTCTGAAAACGACGAAAACTACAGTCTAATCGAAAAACGAGTACTATTAGACTTTTTCCGAAAAGTTGTTGATATGAAATCGCAACCAGCCAAACAATGGACTGACTTGCAACATTATTTGTGCTTCATTTATAGGTATTGCATGACTAGTGACCCAGACCCAGTGCAGGAGGTGTTATCACCGTATTTCATAGCTGATATGAGGAGTATTGTGTGCAGGTAACCACCCCCAATCACACTATCACAAGTAACAATTTTTTTCAAGTCTGATGGAGGAAGACCAGATACAACTTTGCCTTAGATTATTTTCCCTTGTGCGAGAATACACCGTTTTCGCTCATAAGCAACACCAAAAAATCGCAAGTGTGGAAGCTTCGATTGAAAGTAAGTGAGCCTAAACCTTGCACATTTACAAAACAACAATTTTTAGGCTTATTCTACTACTATGAGGCTTTTTTGTCCGCAACCAAAAACATATGCAAAATATTCCCCGAACTTGAACAACTCCTAATAAACACATACAAGTTAGGCTGGCTTGACTTTAACACTTCGATTTTTATGTACTACTTCTACGAGACTCCCTACGTGCAAGACATGGTTCGCGAGTTCGAATTGGTAAGTCCACATCACGTGTTTCATCCCTTAACACGTGGTTTTAGATGAAAGACAACGTTTCGATCAAAGCCGCTGGTATTTACACGGTTTTAACCGAATTACATAAACTTTGGAGGTCGCAAATGTTAGGAATCAAGTAAGTTGGGTCAATTTATGGCTAACTCTAAGTATTGAAATTGTAGCAGCGTGATTGCGAATAAGTTAGGGGCGAAATTCAAAGGTCTGGATAATAAAATGATGTCGAGTCATAAGCGTGTTTTATCGAAGAACTTCTGGATTGATCGAACGGCGAAAGAGTATGATTTTAAGTTGGCACACTTGGTGTTTTATCTCCCGTTTGTAGGAAAGCAATGCAGGATGTGCGACTCTTTGATTGTCAGTTGTTCACACTTGTGGGGAACAAAAACCTCCCAATGCCGGACCCAACTTTGGACGAGTCAGGTCAATGCATTTGCGAGGATTGCTTAATTATTAAATACAAGTCATTGCTTGAAAATACTCAGAATAAAATCGTCTCGGAGTGTATGAAAGTCTCGTGCAGGTTTTGCCGACAACAAGTCGACTTAGAACATTTCCAACAGCACGTCAATGGTAATAACACATTAAAATCAATATTAAACATGAGAAAAATGAGTACAATTAATTCCAATTACAAACAAAATTCCAGTAATTCCAAAATAATTTCACCAAAATTTTATTCTTTTTAGATTAATTCCTAATTAATTATCGTAATTACAAAATAATTCCTGAAATTCAACATGATTTTCAGAAGAATTCACTTTCTCCGATAATTCCAAAAAATTCTAGTAATTCTAGAAAAATTTTAATTTACAAATAATTCCGATAATTCAGC